TTGCTAAACAATATTTTTAATTTCTGATTTATTCTCGGATTCAATTTAAATAAAAATTTTTTTTGGATTCTTGCGTCTTGATGAAGCAACGTATAATTGTCCGTGGGAGAATAAAGGTTATTTAATATACAATTCTAAGAAATCAAAACTCTGTCCTTGTGATTTGTTGATAGTCATAGAAAATACTAATACAAAGGAAAACTGTTTTCTATATAAGACAAAAGGTTATGATAATGAGGTGCCAGTATTCAATGTTATTCTAGGAATATAATTTTTGCTTCTTTTTTTTTCTCCCGTTATTATTTCTGCTTCTTTCTTATACTTAAATAGTTTTGTTATTTTTAATCTTGTGCCATTACAAAGACCGTCTGATATACTCCAATTTCCTATCAACATTACTATAGCATTTATTTTTAATTCTTATTCATGTGGTGGAAGACCTTCTCTGATATTATTTAAAAATTCTATTGGAAAATTAATAGTTATGTTATCATCTGTTTTATCAACTCCTTTGTGAGTCACGTATTTTGCTGTTTTGAACTCATTCTCAGTCTGCATTGATAATTACACGAGTAATGTTGTTATTTTGTCTACTCAATCTGTTAGTGGGCGGTTGGCGGGCGGAGCACGCAGGGGGCGCCAGCCCCGCTGGTACATATATATGTAATTTGTGTATTAGTACGTAGGTAGCGGGGCGTACTGTCCACTGTAAGAGTCGATGCACCATGCACGTTCTTAAGGTAGTTGTTTCCCAATATATAGGTCAATCGTATATATAGATATAGAAATACTAAAATTATGTTCACATATCATCCTGTATTCAAAGTATCAGAGAGAAATGTGAATGTCTTTGCGAAACGCTTACACGTACATAAACACATACGTCCATCTACTTGTAATTATGTGACAATGTGATGTTGCCCTATCCGCGATACTAACTTGGTTATCTTCTAAAACCAAACAAAAAGCACTTTTTTGATTACTATTACTTTAAAACTATGCGGTAAGAAATTCTCAAAAAAATTTATGTGTTTCTCTACTGTCTAAGGTAGTTGTCATTAGTTTTTTAAATCATTTATAGATATGCGGTAACTTACACTTTTTAAAATAATGGGGCTATGTAGCATTTGCACCATTGCTCCAATGTTAAAAGAGTGATTTTTTGACGAGGATATTTTCATAACGACGTGGTATATTGGTCTCAAATTTTTTACACGTATTTATCGACGCTTATGTTAATTTTGCTAAAAATGTCGTACCTTTTTGCCTACCTTAAGGCTGATGTGACTGACCACTCGTGGGAGGAATTCGGGAGCACGGTAGTTTTAAATTCGTACACATAAACTGTGGCCCTTGCAGCTAGCCATAATTGATGCTAAGTGCGGTCCACACATTTATGGAGTGCGTTCACTTCCATTTGTGGTTGCTCTGACAAATCAAATTTTTTTAGTGAACCGAGAAATCGTACATTCACTCGCACCGTAGGTTTAGAAAAGTTTCCATTCCTTGCTCTTTTAAACTGTTTGTACCTCAAACTCAATTAACAGGTGTATTAGAAATTGTCTTAGATGCTTGTAGATAAGTTAGAAAATACGTAAATGACTCTAGTAGGTATGTAAGTAATACCGATACATTTATAATTGTATGTATTCGTACAAACGTAGATGGCAGCACTTTTTTTAAATAAGCACTCGTAAAACCATCCATGCCTTTTTTTAAACAAATGTACTAAATATTCATGTTTAAGATTCACAAGTTTTCTGTTTCAAGAAATTTTCTAAGAAATAAATATGAATGAGACAAAAATCTTCCCCAGGTACAAACTCAAAAGAACTACGAATGGAAACTTATCTAAATCTACGGTGCAAATGAATGAACGGCTCCTCGGTAGCTTAAGTGGTAGAACAACTCTCTAGTAAACAGGAGGTTGTCTGTTCGATCCGCACCCAGGGAGGATATTTTTCTCATTCTTATTTATTTCATAAGAAATTTTCTTGAACTGAAAAATTTTTGAATTTTGATTATGAATCTTTAGTATGTTTGTCATCGAAAAGGGCATGGATTATTTTAAGAGTGCTTGTATGAAAAAAAGTGTCACCATCTACATTTGCACTAATTCATACGATGATTAATGTATCAGTATTGCTTGTATACCTACTAGAGTCATATGTATTTTCTAACTTATCTACAAGCACTTGAGTCAATTTCTCATATACCTATACTAAGCTTTTGTTTAATAGGACAAGTGTCCCAATCCATGCTTATGTTAACCATAAAGCAACTGTTACATACCGCAAGTATGTAAATTGAAAAATGGGAACATAAACTAGACGATTGCACTACTTTCCTACTTTTTCTTGTGCAAACTTTTCCGCATGATTTTGTTCCAATAAAATATTGTTCAATAATTGCAAATAGTAATTATATTATGTTAAACTTTAGACAGATACATAAAATATACTTAATAAACTGTACTTGCATTCTTTTCAGAGGCCAATTTAAGTTATAAAAGCTATTCAAGATTGTTAAAAGATACAAAAAGAAAAAAGTTGTTTTCACTGAAAATTTGCTGAAAATATCACAAAAATTTATGTAAATTACTTGGTCTTGCTCCCAAGGAAAACCAATCTACAAGGTATCAGAGTAAAAAAATATTATTTAAATAACAGGATTCAATATTGATATTATTCCGTTTTCATGTTCAAAAGAGTTTTAATATTAGTATGCCAACTCTAAATTTTAACTAATAAATTTTTATGCTCCAAAACACTTTTAGCCATTTTAAAAAGTTGTAATTTAACAAGATCTACAACTTTATCGTTTATACGTGAGTGTGTAAAATGTATGTGAAAAAAGGTATCGCAGAAAAACTGTTTATTTTGTCTCAAAGCACTGGAGTCAAAATGCTGTCAAAATTTTCCTTATAATGAAACTTGTCCAAATAAAATTTTGGATAGTTTGTATCATAACGACTTGAGTTAGTCGAAAAATTTGATAACGTACTTAAAATATTCACCATTACATATTTACCACGTAACCAACTGTGGTCACCCTTATACTAGGTTTAAAATTTGTTCCATTTTAAAAAAAGATAATTTAAAAGTGGTTACACTTTTTGCTTTGACAAAATTATGACGCACTTCCATATTTTGGTCGTACCTAAAAAGTGAGGTGCAAATTTCCTCAATTACTTAGTTTCAGCGAGGTTTTTCGCGTGTGCATGATGGACAAGACACAATATTAACAATTTACTGCATTCTCATTTTTATATATTTTATTAATTTGGAATTTATAGAAATCCTCAATAGCTCTCCTGCTTGATATGGTACATGAGTGATAAGATTTTTTAGGAAAAAAGATGTTTTGATAAGTTAAAACTATTTTTTTTAAATACTTAGATTCAATTCACGATAAATAGAAATACACCAGGATAAATAGAATCATATTTTATTGAGGTAAGGATAAATTTTCTTTTAAATGTTGAACAATGTATTTAATTTATTGATCTGGTCAAGTAAATTTGTTAACTTATATCAAATGATGTTACTGATGTTTATTGACTTATTTTTAATGAACAACGTATTATCAACAGTTGCTTGGCCTTATCAATCAAATAAGGTAAAGCAATGGTTTCCAATTCAAACATAATAATACGAATAAATAAGTTTTGATCTTGTTTTTTCCCTTAAGAAAAACTATCTAGGTCTTAATACTTTATTTTTTTAAGGACTCAAAAAAAAATATGGTGATAAATACTAACCTAGTGGTAAATAAGATGTGATAAAAACTGTCATTTTACATGTTTTCTAAAGTACTTTAATCTTAGTTTGGAAGTTTAGTATGAGATGAACAGAGTGAGATTTTATTTTACTGACATTGATACTATTAAATGACCTCTATTAACCTTAATATTCTGCAAATTTTTTAAATTCAAAACTTTTTAATAATAAGCACCTCTGATTGTTAATGATGTAGGAATGACAAATCAGCGATTCCTCGGGGGTAAGACAGAGAATGACATGTAACAGTAATTAACAATTTCTACAATGACGCTATTTGATGCATACATATCACACGTGAAAATTTAATTCTGTAACACCGGCACGGGCGTTTGTGGCTAAGATCGTTTGTACAACTACACTAATGAGTCCCACTCAATGATCTAGGACAGAACGTCTTTAAATTTCTTTCTTGTCTTTACTTTTCCTTAACCTTGCTGTGTATACTAGGCAAACGCAAATATTAGACGAATGAATCAAACAGCTTTCATACAAAAAGAGTTATATACTTTCGTGTGTCATTTTCTGCCCTAACCACGATGAATCGCTGATTCCTAATTGAAACATTAATGGTAAAGATAATGGTAAGTAGGTCTCTCAAGCCTATACGACCATGGTACGACACAGACTTTTAATACATCTACATTAACCTTACGTATTCTGTATGCTCATTCTATTATTTAATTAATATCTTCGACACTATACGTTTTTATTTAATTTTTCCGTTGTACGCACAGAAANTGAACAAATTATAATTAAACTGTGGAAGTCATCGCAACATTATCATAGTATAGTTGTAAGATTAGTGTTGACTTGCACGTGAACTATTGTCTGCTGCGAGCTCAACTCAACTCAAGGAGAGAGAGGGAGAGAGAGAGTGAGAGAGAGAGAGAGGGAGAGAGAGACAAATATACAATCGTGTCTTCAAAATATGTTAACAGTTTGGTAGTTATGTAAAACAAAAAAAATTAAATACACATTACCTGTAACATATTAGAACTGTCAGTATATGTTGGTGGTTTTGATATTATGACATCGGTTATCTTAGAAATTTTGATAGTATTATTTAATGTAAAATCAGATCCGTTTTTAGTGGAGGCTAACTTTTCATAAATTTCGGATACTTTAGAACTTGATGACTTGCGCTTATCTTTACTGCACCATTTCCAATCAGGATGAGCTTTAAAATGAGCTTCTTTTACTTCGGAAGCAAGGTCATGATATTTCTGTTTTTCTTCAGCACCTAAGGCATACCACCATTCCCCAAGGATTTTTGACACATTACGATTATCTTGATTAGGATGTCGTTGATGAACAACAGCGCGATGGCGTTTTGAAAATATCATGAATGCATTCATCGGGCGACGTATTCTATCTTTTATCTGCAAAAAAGGCTTTTATTATTATAAAGTCATAACCAAAAACTAGTATATGCTAGTGTGTGCTTCATCCCTTGCGCTCTCTGTTCACTAACCCCTCAGAAGACTTAAATTTATTTTGGAAATCACGACAAATTAATTGATTTAATTAAACACTACTATTAGAAGATTGAAAACTGTTTTTCCAAAAGATAAAATACGTTTGTTTTTGTTGATTTATATTAAAGAAAGTAGAAGGTGAAACATCATTAGAAGATTTAAGAACATATAATCGAATCATTCATGAAACATTCGAAGCTACTGCTATTGCAATGGGGGATGGAATATGACACTCAAATTGATAATGCATTTAAAAAAGCTATTACCATCATGTTTTTTTATCAATGGAGACGATTTTCAGAATGGTTTTAGTTTCAGAAAATACTTTTGGTTAAAATATTTGGAATAAATATATAAAACGTAATTTATACAAAATTTCATTTTTGATAAAAAAAGTCTTGCTTTTTTCTACGTAACTCAAGTTCTTGCTATGGAGGACAAGTTGTGTGAATCGTTTAATTCACCTACATCAAAGATATTGATTACGTACAGAGAACATATACTTTAGACAAAATTTCTTTTCGTGAAAAAAAAATGTTCAAGCCGTTAGAAAAAGCGTGGAAAAAAATGAGGGTGGGTAAGCAGGCGTAAAAACAAATTAAGGGGAGGCGAAGAAGTACTGAGGGGGTCTAAAAAAAGCGTAGATAGAGAATAAGAGAGAACGAGCTATTATCATTACTATTCTTAAAATAATAAAGTTTTAAATGAGATATAAGGTAAGATAAAAACATATTACAGTATTGATAAAGCAACATTCGAGAAAGTTGAACAATCCGACAGTAATTTCTCTATCAATTTCGTTGATTCGGCCTTGTGTTCTTAGGTTTTACTTAACGGTATAAGTATCTGCTTATTTTTGTTTGATATTTAATTTATTAATCAAAGCTAAAATTATGTTTCTATCAATTAGAATTTTGAATTTTAAAACATTTGTATAAACAAAATAAATTTAATTAGCAACCAAATTATGTCTTGTTTAATGAAATAATAAATTTGGTAAAGCCAGAAATGATTGATTTTTACAAATAATATCAATTTTAAATTTTCACGTTTGCATTTTTAGTGCACAACAATTTAAAGTTTTGCTTAACCAAATTCACTTCTGTGATCGTTAGTTAGCAGCAAGATCTTATAAGATTGACCGCAACGATGATTCCAATCCTACACGAGAGTACTCGTATTGATGATAATAATGAGGCTGCTGTTTTAAACGTCAAAACTCAAGTCAACAGTCCTTTTCTTCTTTTTCCTCTTTGATTCACTTTCTAGACGAGTCTACAGTGGCTTGGTCTGCTCAAGTTTTTCTCACACAGCTTAGTTACCGAATTGAGTCTTACATTTGCTTCATATTCACGCTTTTAAGCGCACACCGAACAAAGTCGTACATTCGCTTTAAATATAGACCTAAGCTGACTCTCCAACCTTTCTAGCTAGTTTAGAGAACGTGATGAAAGAAAAAAGGCGTAAATTAATCCATGCGAGGAGTTTTTATACACTTGCATTTAAGAAGATTACGTCAGGTTTAAGATCTGAAAGACCAATCAAAGCTTAACTTAATTGCTCTCGATTGACATGACTATAGTCGTGGTGCAATAATTGTACAGCGATTGATGGTTAAAATTGCCGATCCATCGGATTTCACATAAGGTACAACTTGATGTCAAAATTTTGTACGATATTTCTTGTAAATATAAGCAGTCAAGAATGTGAAAATCGTTGATTGCTCACATTCTTGGGTTCAGTAGTGAGAATTGATGTTGTAAGATATGCGTTTTATAAGATTGCTTGAAGGTTGCTTGCACAGTTCGAGTTTTGCGACAGTAGTTACTTTTATAAGAAGTAAGTTATTTGACACACGACTGTAGAAGCAGATATACAGCACGAAGTTTAGAAATTGCTTGGCACTCGCTTCTTTAAAATTTTAGAACGAAGCTATGTGTTTCAAAATAATAAATGTTCAGTATATGACATGAGATGTCGCAACGTTAAAACTATTTCTTTTACTCAAAAGTAGGACCATACCACCAATTTATTACTTTTAATTATCATTTACTAGCAAGCTACCCCACCTTGGCTTCGCCTAAGACTCAGTGAATGGAATACACATGTCCTGAAGCGTAATCTCTCTATTTTTTATCACAACAATGAATACCAACACATATTATTCTACCTATTTAAAAATCTGAAGAATTTAAGTGATTATTGTAAGGGTTATAGTAGAAAGCTGATTTCTTACGTAATGAAATGTTTATTTGTCAATTTTGACGCTGCCGTTTAAATCTTAACAAATGTTCTGCATTAGTTTCTTGACACCTACAGTTGTATACATTTAAAGTATTTGAAGTTTCCCTCCTAATTCGTCCTCTTGCGACTTTTGGCATGGTTAAAATTTTTGTGAGCTTTAATGAATGATTTTTCTCAACTTCGTTAAGTTATAATATGTTTGTTGGCAAGGCAGTTCGACGTTCGATGGCCCTAAAAAAGACCGATGAGCCAAACTCTTCCTTGACTGAAGTTTCCAGCGAACATGACTGCTTGAATACCTTAGGATGATCTTCTCTGGACTGTTAGTATAGCACCAGACTGATGGGAAGGAAAACTATAACGTCTAAAGCATTGGAGCTAATCGTAGAGATCTTTTCCAACGTCTTCTGATGTTATGTCGAAGACGTTAATATCTAAAGCACCTTATTTTTTTGCACAGCTCGGTCGTTTTGTTGATGTAAAGTAGGGAGGTTGATTTGTAATGCTTGCCTGTTGGAGACTGTCCCGTTCGCTCACGCTTATTTTTTCTTTATAGCTTAATTACTAGGTTCAGTCAGCACAGACCTCGAAGAGAGTAGGTGATTTCTGGCTGAATGCTTAGCGTTAAAAGGATAATGCAGGGTGGCCAAGATTTTAATCTCGTGACGGACAAATTTGTTCCTGACGTCTACCGGTAAACTACTGACTTTGTTTAATAGCAGCTAGAAATGGTTGTAAAAATGTATTTTTTGGCAAAGTAATTTAACGTTAAGTGACCTAAAAAAGAGCCACTAGTATTGATGGTTAATTAGTTAACGTAATTATTTATGATGTTCCTGGAAAATACCACTGGTTATACTTCGAGTCATTCCTGACAATTATTCTCGATGATGGAGAGCCAGCTGCGTGTACTTTAACTCTCACTCTCGGAGTCTCTGTGTGTGGAGACTGAAGTGGATGAAGGTACGCTGCTGGCTAGAGAATATCTCGTCTTTGGATCGTTTCCCAGATAACCAACTGTCTATCGTTGGTTGGAGAAGTGGGCCTAAAAAATATCTCCTCTGCAGGCGTACCGCTGGGACGAACTACTGAGGAGGAGGCTAATAAGATTTCCAGCCAATGTGGCTGCCCAAACCCCTCAGGGTTTCATTTCCTGGCTTGGTGTTGTAGCAAAATCTGCTCTGGTAACATCAGGTCAGTTGGAAGAACGAACACGAAACTCTAAATTATTAGAGCAGATTGTGCTTTGGCTATGCGTCTCCTGATATTACACTAGAGACGTTGGCGTTCGGAAAGCTTTTTATTTAACGTACTCGTTAATCTTAGTAGTTTGAAATAGAATTCGACGAAAGTCGCTTTGTCCATTAGAGAAGAGGGTCTTTGGTAGCCGGGACGCCCAGCTGCACGACTCACAACCCTTTGTTTAATGCACTGCCGATGAACAACTAAGATTTTTGGCAATTTGCTCGAGGATATTATAACCAGACCTACTTACTTCTATTACAGGTAGCTTTAATGTTACTTTTAAGCCACCTAGTAAATCCTACTGAATTCAAGTGAAAAGCTAGCATAGTTTCACAAAACTTTAAGCTTCTTTATTATTACTATTATTAATTTTTGCCAGATAAAAACTATACGAAAACCATCTAGAAAGTAAAAAAAATCAATATGCAAAATTTCAGAAAAATTGGTTAAGTAGTTTTTGGAATTAGCGATTGCAAAAATTTTTGGGACTTTGCTTTATACATTAGTAAGACTACTTTGAACTGTAGAACAAGCATAGAAAGTTATCCTTAAATAAATGTGACTTTAAATAAAGTTATCTTCATTGTCTGGATAGCTATCATAGAAAGAACTGATGCCACTACATAAATAATTTGAATTTTTGAGTTCAACTTTAATTCTCATTGAATTTCTTCTCTCTTCTTCAATGCAATTCATCATTTTCTTATTATTTCCTTACATTATGTTTTGTTTAAATTTTCATAACCATTATAAAATTAAAGCATAGCCTCGTAAATAAGAAGTATCAAAGTATCAAGTAATTTTATAAAACTAGTATTTAAAATACATTTATTTTGACACATTAAAAAAAAAATTATTGTTTAATTGACTATTCCGTAATTTAATAATACTAAAAGAATTCATAAGGATATGAACACAATTTATACATTTCTAAACTCCTAAAAAATTATGAACATGTACTTAACGAGCGAAAAAAGCCAGCAACGTAACAAAACTCATTTTATTACAAGGATATTACATATGATAATTTCCAGCAAACAACAACTTGCATCCAATTCCACGTAAATAGTTGTCTACACACATGCCTTTTTTATATCCTTTCGTTATTGCATTGACAACGTACTCATACTTATACAAAATTTAAAAGATTTAAATTAAAAAGGAGTTTCGATTTTTTTGTAACTGGGACTACGAGTTAAACAATTTTTTTACAATGTATTAACAGTAAACCTCTTTACTTACAATACAGAGTCCACTGCTCGCTGAAAAAAATATGATTCAATCTTATGTTTTTCAGTGGCGAAAAAATTAATGATTTTTTTACAATATTTTCTTAGAAATACGAGAAAAATAATTTTGCCTAAATTAAAAGCCAGCTACATGTATTAAATTAACAATGTATAAAGAAAAGCCAA